AGAGGCTGACCCATTCTATATTGGTAACTGTCCTATTTAATCAAGGGAATTATCAAGAACTTTCTTTCTTTTTTAAATTTATTTATTTATACATACAAGAACTGGGATATAGGCAGGAGGGGCAAGGGGTGAGAGAATTCACCAGAGGCAGAGTGGGGAGCAGAACAGGCAGATTGATTGTAGAGGGAAGCAGCAGGTGAGGCAGGAGAGGTCTACTGCACCATGTGGGTCACCTCCTTGGGTGGGGATCGAACTCATGCTTCAGCTGTAATAGCTTCATAGTGTTGCACGTTAACCATTTGTACCACCAGGGAGGCCCCTCAAGACTTTTATTTAGAGGTTAAAGAAGAACATATTTCTGCACCTGCCTGTCTGGATCTTAACAGGTAATGTAGAGGTCAATCACAGGTAGATAGTAGCCTGGGGGAATGGCCCCACAGACACTAGAAGACAGGTAAAGGGCCCAATCTTACAGTGAAAGAAAGAATTGCATGTGTAGTTGTGAATTTAATGTAATATATACAGAAGTAGGTTGATATTTGTGCACACCTGAAGGTTATATATTACAATGTGATGTGACTTCAATTCAAAAAGAATTAAGCTTATCAAAAAATGTTTGTGGTTTAAAACTGCTAAATATGCAGTCATGTGTAAACATCAGTAAAAAATTACAATAGATCTTCCATTCCTTAAGTTCTCCATGGCCTCATACTAATCCTGTACTCTTCAAATTGACAAGTGAAGTCAACTCTCAGTGTACATCAGAATCCCGGAAAGCACTGTTAGAACACAGACTGCAAAGCCCCAAACCCAGGTTCTAATTCATTAGCTTCACAGTGCAGTCCATGATGGGTAATTCTAACAATAGCCCAAGTGATGCTGTTAACTATTCATCTACAGATCACCTTTAGAGAATCGCAGGCTACCAGGACTACATTTATTTCTATGTATTTTAAGTGCTCTTTGTATCAAAATACTGCAAGAATATAAGCATCTGATTAAATAAAATGGTTGGTGTTCTTTCATATTAAAGATTTCTACAAAAAGGAGAAAAGGTCTTATATTAAATGGTAATTCATTGAATTTAATACCTGATTTTCACTAAATTACTTGGTTCTTATATTCTTGGGGTTGGTGAGCAAATGCTTACTCCTACAGATTCACTGATACCTTACTTTCCCCTATATTATAGTTTACTTTCCTGTTTTTTTATACTAGCTTCTTTACGGTGCCCTGATTGTATAGTGGAAATTGCTAAAATGTCATCACCAATATTTATATATGAAGTTGTTAAAAATGTCATATTCAATACTTTATGAGGTCTCAAAAAATTTAAACCAAATTGGTAATTATGGATTGTTCATAATATCCCTATTGTCACTACCTAAACAATTCAATATACATTTCCTTTTTAAATAATTACAACTGCTCATAATAATATCATCAGGGAGCTATAAATTGGCTATTCATCTGTTTTAGTATTAGGTTTAATACATGGGCTAATCCACCATGGATCTCTAATACCTAATATACATCAAAAGAACAATATACCTATGCTTTTTAAGTTTGATGCTCTGACTTAAATGAGAAAAAAAAAGGTCACCACCTTTTATCTTTATTTTCTATAAAGAATTTTTTTCCCACAGAAGTGCCTCTTTCTATGCTAGCAGCTTCCAAGTATCTGCAGAATGGTAAGAACTACATCACTCAATGAATATTCATATCAAAGAGATATTTATAACATTTTTTTCATGTCACTGCTCCTTTCTACTTCCCCAACACACATTTTGAGAATGACAGTGAATACTTAAAATCCTGAAGGAACTACCTTCAATCTTTATACAGGCACTAAAATACATTTTTAAACAACAGACTTCCAAATGAAAGGAAAAGAAATTAGAAATAAGCATTTTCAGGAGGAAATCACATCAGCAAACTCAAGGTAAAAAAAAAATAGAAAATAAAGTTGGAAGTGAATAATAATTTGATTAAATAGGAAATATAATAGTATCCATAAATACAATGTTTCTTGGCTTGGAAGTAGGACTTTTGTCCTCTTTTTGTTTATTGATCATTTCCCTTTCTCTAAAACATTAGCTGAGATGGATAAGTCCAGAATGTTTGTTCAATGAATCAATGAATCAATCAATGTAAATACATGCATGTATGACACAGAAAGCTTATCAAAGCTCTCCCAATCAAGAAAACACCTCTGTGACCTTAAGTTAACTCAGGATGGAGAATCTGGAATGTGGAAATGGTTCAGATTCTAGCATAATATGCTATGTTCTCAATATCAAGGTAAAAAAATGTAAAATCACATCATATAACTGTCCACAGGCTGGCATAGGAAAACAACCTATATAAAAAAGAGCAAAAGTATTATGGGACCACAGACTAATTGAAAAGGCCATAAATAAATTATAGCATTTAATCATTATCTCTTAAATAGGTACTCAAAGCAAAAAGTACAGCAATGTCAAGGTTCTCAATGCTTTTGGAGAAAGGTAAGGTATGGGTTTCAAATATTTTAATGTGGCAAGAAATACATTAACTGAAACAAGTTTTACAAAATAATATTCACCTTTACTCATCATGTACTTTATACTTTTCTATTCTACTTCCTTTTTTAAAATGCCAGTGAAGATTAACTAAGTCAATTTCAAGATTTATTTGCTTGAAAAACATTGGATTTGAACATTAAATAAATGTGGTGAGTAGAAGAACACACAGAGGCTTGTCTACCAACAAGGTCTGATTCTGCTCCCAAACACATTGTTTGCTGTTGAGTTGCAAAGCAAAGACCTCTGGGTGGTAGAGATGACTAGAGAAGTCATTTTCCATAGTGAGCCAAAGCACAGGAAGGGAAGCTTGCTATTTCTTGCCTACTCTGGGAATAATACTTTAGATTTACCATTATTAAGTCTAAAATGGGTAAGATTATTTGAAAACAACACTCACATTTGGGGGCATCCTAATTCAGAGTATATCTGGATTTATCTCAAGAGTTTACCAGAGTCAGATTTTTATACCAAACAGCAAACAGCAAAACCCTTTGCTTCTTCCTCTGTAAGAACTGTTTCACAATAGGCTTTATTGAAATGAATTATTCTGCACTCTCTGTGTAGCAGGCTCTATTGTGGCCTACAAGAGTGTGGGAAATAGAAATCCAGGTCCCTTTATTACAGGGCAGCGAGAAGGGCAACACTGCACTCCAAAACCTGCCCACCCTAAATAGGTTCTGCCATCTATCGCATCAAGACAAAACATATAAGACCTTTAGTGGAAAAGAACTTTAATATAATTAGTGTGCAATACAGAAGAGATGAAGAATATAGTTTCTAAACCAAACACCAATCCCCTTGTGGATAAAAGTCTACCCAAAAGGGATTGGCCCAAAGAAAGGCCTGAAATCCTGTCACAAGACTAAAGCACTTCCTGGCAGGGACCCATAGAAAAGGGTCAGAAATTCCCAGACAAGTCTGGGAGGAAAGAGCAAAATCAAGATAAACACTGCCACAGTCAAGCTCCCCACAGGTCTCACCCACTTCTGTTTCACCCAGTCCAGGACCAAGAAACAAGAGGCCTTCTTCAAACGTCTCTGTTCCATGTGTCTCCCTCATTCATTTGCTTGAAAAACATTGGCTTTCCATCCTGCTTTCTTCTTTCCTCTTCAGTCTCCTCTCTAGATTCTTCTCTGCTCAGCTCCACTCTCCTTTGGGTGGGACAAGGAACCTGGAATCTCCCCCTTCCCTGAGGACCACTCTGTTACACCTTGAAGTTTATATTTTACACAAATTAAACAGACAAGACATATACAGAAATTTCTCAAGAGACCACAAGTAAGTGAATTGAAATTGGTAGAGGAGTGAAAACACTTAAAAGAGGAAGAAAACATTTTGAGCAAGAAAGGAATGGGAGAAGTATAGACTAAGTAACAATTAAAAGTCACACATATATATGTATATATGTATATATAAAGTGGCCACCTTTACATTTTAATCCCGTGTCCTGCTCTAATCCTCTCTGTTCTTAAAGCAAGATATTAAATGCAGCAGAAAGATGGATTTTTTTTTCTGAAGATTTTTAGCTTTAAATGAGGATCAGAAGGCCACTAAAAAAAAAAAAGATAATTTAATCAGTGAAAACAAGATAGTGAGATTTAACTAGGATCACTTTCAGTGAGATTTCAACAGTGGTTCTCATTCTGGCTGCACATTCAAATTCCCTTGAGAAATTTTAAAATTATATGCCCAGGCTCAGTTGGAGTGGTTCTGATTTAATTAGTTCGAGGTGGGACACACAGGTAGGTATTCTTTAAAAGATCTATAGAGGATTGGAGAAACCCGTTAGTAGTACATATGAAGATGTGAAATAACTAAGTCTATTCCATTAAATGGTGGATTAATAGAGAATGGGATGAACAGAGTTTCCCCCAGACAAGGAAGACAGGCCCAATCGTTAAGCAT